CACAAACTGAGAGTTAGACAATGATGACGTACAAAAAAAGCGCATCTCAGGTGTCTTAAAAAGACAGTACACAATTTATACGCTACAGTATATAACCCTGTTTAAACAATTAACAAAACAAATCGGGATTTGGTGTGGTTTCAATCAAGGAGTTATATGGAAGTTACATTTCTTCGTACACTGGTTACACCAGCACGGTTATTTTTTATAAAATCTAAGTGGTCTACTTCGTCTTTGTGAGTTCCTGGTTTGAAAGAGCCGGACGAGGCTTTGTAATAAAATAGAGCCTATAGTAGACAAAGATGTCAAAAACCTCTAATGAGCAGATGGAACACAGTGAATTGTTATACACTAAACTAAACCAGCCAGCAGCATAAAATTGATAACATATTGTTGGTTACATACTAAACTGCTGCTTACATGTTAACATCAATAATAACAATAAAATCTAACTGTAGCACACACTGTAAATGTGTCACTGCGGGCGCATCCCGCTGTAATGTGAACAAACCTCTAGGGGGCGCAGCCTCGCCCCTTCTTTACTTGAACGTTAGAAATGTGAACCGAGGCACTTTCTCACTAAGGGAACAGCTGCAGATCCCAGGTGCTGTGTCCTTCCTCCAGCATTTAAAGTAAGTGACCAAGCATCTTAAAGCCTGTTTTAATTACGGTTCGGGTCGCGAGTCTTATGTTAACGGGTCGAGTCCGGGTTCCACTTAGAAATAAGTAAGGGTTCGGGTCCGATACGGAGCTTTGCAGATGCCGGTTTCCCGTCCAGGACTCTGCTGTGTGTTTAAGCCGGTCACTCTGTATAGTCTGCAGTTCACAGTCGCACATTAAAACGTGTTTTTCTACCTTGATGTTCTCGGATTTATGTTTCCGGTGTTACCTCTACCCCAGGTAACACCGGTAGAGGTACAGGTTGGGCTGATGTAATATCTTATCTGGGAGAGGCCAGCACGTCAGCACAGATTTGGTTTTTACATACAAAAGTAGTTTTTATTTCGAAGAGGAGACTGTAGTGTCTTTTACCGAGGTGAGGTGAAGCTGTCCCTGTGTGAGTAGGGTAACCCCTGTAAATCATTGTGCAACATCTGTATGCTGGCTTGCATAAAATGGGGGTGGGTGGAGGGTGGGGATAAGAAAACACTTTGTTTCTGCTTAGTTACAGAGTTTTCAGTGTACTTTTGGCATCGCCCCATTTTGTTTTGGTTGTGTGTGTGTGTGTGTTTCTATTGGACTGCTGGCAGAAGGAAATGTATTTTCATTGTTGAAGCTGGCTCCCCTTGTCCATGAAAAAAGTATTAATTTGCCTTGATCTGTTTTAATTTTCTCTCTTTATTTAAACCTATGCTGGATCAACTGTTCCTAAAGGCATCGACTACCTATGGCTTGCCGTCTGTTTGAAGGGAAGAAGCATGCAGCTTCCTACTGGAAATACAGGATCGCTCCATCGGATCATCTGATACAACAAGTGCTTGACTTCCTGGAACAGCAGGTTTGTGTCCTACAAGTGAAGAAGGGATGGTAGTCTCTGTGTTGTGAATTATAGCAACAGCTCTTAGCAAGACACAAATAATGATTCTCTTGAGTTTCATTGTCAGTGGGTGATGTTATAACTAACTTTATTAGAGCAATATCAAAATATGTTCTGATAAATATTTTGTCAGAAAGGCCGTCCCTTTGAGCTGGCAGTGGATGTGGGTTGCGGTTCAGGACAGGGCACTGTGCTGCTGGCCAAACACTTTGCCTCCGTAGTGGGGACGGATGTAAGTCCTGCCCAGCTGGAAATGGCTTTGCAGCATGCTAAACAACCAAACATCACATATAGGTAAGCACAGGGCAACCAGGAGTCACAAAATGTTTCAGAGATGCAGTTAGTGAAAAACATATTGAAGGCTTTCTGAAAACTAATGTGTCTCTCAATAGTTTTTTTTTTTGTGTGCATAACTGACAGTTCATACGCTTTTCTGGCTAAAAAGTGTGAGATGTTTATATGCAAATTACAATTAACGTCAAACTATTTGTTCAGCTCTGAGAATCTGGCAAACTATTTTCATGAAAGTTGGCCAAAGCAGGGACAATGTGACCCTTGTCTAGTGGAAGTTGGTCACACTGTGAGACTGTGAGGCCCAGAGAACAAATGTGCAGTCACAGGGTAGTTTAACCTAATACCAACAAGTAGTTTCCTCCTAGTGTTAGAATTACTTTTTATATTTTTGGATTGATCAGTCAAAGTAATATTCATGTCTTGGGGGGGGGGTTTACTGGGCATGGACACTGGTTAACCTGTTATTACATTAGTGCTACATTGACCCAAGCAGGATGAATTCTCACCCAGTGATTATTGTTGTGCAATTTATTTCTAATATTAATGCCAATGTAACATGGTATTAATTACACTGGCATTAATACTGTTGTTGGGAATTTGTGTGTTGCCTCACATTCATTTTCTGTGAGGCAGAGCATGATGGAAATAGACGTATCAAGCAACAGACAAAGTTAAAATTAGCGACGTGTGACCTAGAAGGTATGCAGAAACAGTGTTGCTTGACAGCCACCATAAGCTTATAGAATGAATGCAACTCCAGTATAGATCTTTAAAAAAGCCAAACTGCAAAAATGGTCTTTCAGCCCTCACAGGCACTGTAAGAACATGCACACTCCACACAGAAAGGCCCCAGTCAGTCACGAGGTTTGAAACCAGAAGCTTCCTGCTTTGAACCGACAGTGCTAACCACTGCACCTTAATGCAAAAGCTCTTGCTTTACAACAACGGAACACTCCTCAGGCACAGATAATAATGTGGAGACCATTCAAGAGCCAGTACCAGGCAGCATCTTTATTTTGATTTTGGCTGTTGTTTATTTTCCATCTTCAGAGAGTGTGCGGCTGAGGAGCTGCCGTTTTCTGACAGCTCAGTGGACTTGGTGACGGCCATGTCTGCCTTCCACTGGTTTGACAGGCCGCGCTTTCTCCGAGAGGCCCACAGAGTCTTGAAGCCCCATGGCTGCTTAGCTCTGTTCAACTACACCATTGACATGGAGCTCAGCTATCCTGACTGCTGCCTGCATACACTAAACCAAGTCTGCAAAGAGGTGCTCACAGAACATCTGCAGAGATATTTGGTTATTTTTTACAGTTAAATTCGATATCTACAGTTACATGGCTGCACACTTTGTCAGAGCGCATTAACAAGTCAACCGTCTAGTCTGTGAAGATATGCATTCATGATTAGTTAAGACTGTGCCGTCCCGTCATTGTTGTTAATTATTATGACACTACTTCAGGGAATGAATGTTAGTCATGGACAAGGCAGGATTTGTCTCTGCCTGGGAAAGCACAGGTGTAAATATTTACTTTATATTCCTGCTAAATATTACAATACAATTCAGAATCCAGTACTAAATTCACTTGACAGTGTGACACTGAGCCAGCATGAAAAATAGAATCTTGAAGGTGAAGCAGTTAAATGGAAAACAAATTAATTTTAATACTTTTATTTACTTTAATACCTTTTATTTACTTTAATACCTTTTATTTACTTTTCTGTGACAGATATCGTTTGTGAACTGACATGTATTTTTATAGTAAATTAGGTAAACAAAAGGTAATGTATTTAAACCTGTTATTAATGTCGAAAACACAAAGACAATGTTAAAATGTACTTCAATTAAAAAAAAGTCACAGATGACAACACTGTCTTTAAAACAAACAAGCATTTCCCACACAGACATAGCCACATATGCTGCTTGGCAGTGGTGGATCAACATAGCACTGGCCTGGGTGCAGCCCAAACTACCAGACCCTCATCCCTTAATTCAATTCACAACCACTTGCTTGTGCAGACAATAGACTACCAACCATCTTCCTACATACAGCTTCACTATGATCAATTGGAAAACAGCACATATTCACACAAGCAAAAATGAACATCAGTCAACAAAAAGGCTATGGACACTGTGGCAAATACAAGATGGACATAAATCAATAATTAAACTGTCAGCAGTAAAATATAACATAGCCATGGTATATTACACAGCAGCAATATAAACACCAAAACAAGTGCAATCCAACAAGTACTACATTATGATGCACCGCCATCATCTTCCTCAGTATAGCCTCCATAGAAAATAGCACTCACACAAACTAAAATAGCCAACAGTAAACAGCAACTGGCATATTACACATACATGTAACTGTACAAGCAATATAAATATCATCACGAGTGCATCAGAAATTACACACATAGCGAGTCTGTACAATTTTGAACAATACCTAATGTAAACACACAAAACAGTGCTGCTGCATTATTGTAACTGGCAACTCCTCAGCAGCTAGAAAATAATAACTGTATTGTACTTCACTATTTGAATGACATTCTGCTGGTCTTACGCTATGCAAAGTTCTCAACGATCTGCCTTAGTCATATTTCTTTGTTTGTAATTTTCAAGTGTAGAAAAGTCCAGTGTACAGCTCTGTGGTAACTTAATGAAAGACCACTGTGCTGCTAGCCAGGGCTTCCTCTAACACTAACACTAACACTAGCCCATTTTTGCCTGCAGTTGCTGACAACGATGAAGAACCATCTAAAAATAATCCAGTTTGTTCAGTTTTGAAACCTTGTATTCAAAATCTTGCTTCTTCTTTCTCTTTGAGCACCACTCTTGCCTTTGTATGTCTGTAGCATTTTGAATGAACGCACTAAGCATTTTTCTGAAGCAAGCTGAGGTTCTAGTGAAGGCTGGGAGGGTGTGTTTGATTTAGGTAACTTTACACACTCTGTGGGTGAGCAAATACATCTAGGGAAATAAAATAACCTTCATGGTTTTGCGTAATTAGTCCCTCACCTGACTTAGCATTGCTGTACATTGTTGATTTACATTGTTTGAACATTCATATTGTCCCAAGAGCCCCCCCGGGACCCCAGATGAGTGGGCCCAGGTGCAGCTGCACCGCTTGCACCCCCTGATGCTCCACCTGGGCTGCTTGCCTTTGTTATAGATTTTTACAACAGCATATTCATTTGCCTGATTCATAGACTCAAAAGGAGAAGTTATCTCACATCAGCTGTCTTGGATTTTCTGTCCAGAACAAAATTGACTTTGAACCAAAAATGAGCAACACTACCATCTAGTGTCTATTTTTTATAATACACACTTAAATGTGTACAGTTGTCTTGAGTTGGATTTATTAGTATACATATTTTTCAGCAAGATATTGTAACAGAAAATGTGCCATTGTGTTAAAGAATACACTGACAAAAAATGTACACAAACTCTGGATAAACTGTATGAACACATAGCTGGGGGCTGGAACCAATTCATTGTTGAATGATTGAAGCAAACCTCAGTGAGTGCATTATATCTGGCTCATGCCATATGTCCTGCCATTAAGAAAGTGATAGAAGTAAAACCAGTTTAATGATAAACTAACTCTTGGTTTTATCAGTTTTATGCAGCCTTACAACCTTACCGCAGTCCACAACTCGGTCCACACTCTATTGGCTGGTACCGGGAGGCGTATGAATCCATCCCTTACCCTGATAAGGAGTGGTGAGTGACAGCATGTTTTTGTTTGGTCAGCTATCTGTGTTCCACACACATTCAAATACATAGGTCACAGATATTAAGATTTTCAGTACTCCTCTCAGCCATTATCCATATAAATTTGCCTTAAATTACCGTACCAAAACATTTAATCGGAATTGATTTGACAGATTTCCTCCTCCCTCTTTTTCCAGTTAGGCTGTGCTCATCATTACTGTGTCAAAGTAATACCAGGGTGTACTCTGCAAACTAAAGAAAAAACGGTGGTGTCTACTGAGCAAATTTGATGTTTGGCTTTAAAAAATCCATTAATATGATTGATATGAATGTACAGTACATACTGGCTATGTGTGTGTGTTTATGTGCTACAGGCAAGAGTGTTTATGGGTGAGAATACCAATGCCTCTGTCAAGCTATATGGGTCTCGTGGAGTCTTTCTCCTCATATCAGATTCTGTTGCGAGATGACCCACATAAGGCCACTACTCTCTCCCAGGACATCCGTCAAAGGTAAACTCTCAGTAGTATGTATCATGCATACGGCACAACAATGGCTCCCAGCCTGGCGTGCCAAAGATCACTGGGGGTGCGCGAGGAATCGTCTGCTCTGAGGTTATAAGCATAAGCAGCGTTAGTTAGCGTTGGTTTCAGGTTTTCGACATGAAAGTAGGAGGGCTCCAAGTAAAAAAGGTTGGGAACCACTGAAACACAGCATACACATAAATGTTTATGGCTTATGAAATCTTTTAATGATTTGTGTGTGTACCTTTTGTCTTCCAAAACTCAGATAAAACAGTCTGAGGCACCTGTTTAACACAATCTTCTATGTGACAGTGCTCTGTAAAATCATAAAATGCATTCTAGACATAATTATTTAATGATTTGTACTTACTGTCAATGTTTCTCTACATTCAGTGAATTATTCATTATGTGTATTCCTCATAAACATGTAAAAGAAGAAGACCGCAGGTTGCTTCTGACATGTTGAACCCACCATGTGTTAGTAACACATCATGGAAATTAAGTTATTCCAGGATATTTATTCTTATACAGTATGAAAAATTTTTTTTTACCTACATGAATTTTCATGACTCTTTAAAACTGCGGTGTGGTGTAACAGAGTGACAGTGTGTCGTTCTACTATTTGAATGACTTAAAACATGGGGCCCGGTTGGGCAAAGCCCCAGAATGTGACATGGAGCTGCTGACCTGTGGGCCCATCACCTGAGATAAACAGGTACCAACTAAATTTATTTGGGCGAATCTCCTTGAAGAGCACTGGATCTGGAACCAAACTCCTGTAGGGCCTGGGCTAGACTCTGTTGCCTATGTTCCAACCTTCACCTATGGCCACAAACATTTGATACCAAAAGAATGACATCCCAAATACAATAGGCCAAAATGAGTTTCCTCCATAGGCTGTCTGGACTTTAGCATAGAGATAGGTTGTGGAGTTCAGACATCCAGAGGGAGCATGAAGTAAAGCCGCTGCTCCTTCACAATGAAAGCCAGCTGAGGTGGATCGAGCATCTGATTAGGATGCTTCCTGGGTATGTCTAAGTGGTAGAAGGCCCCAGGGTGGGGGAGGTATTATACTGTGTATCTCACCTACCCTGGGAATACCTTGTAGTCCCCTAGGAGAAGCTGGAGAATGTTGCTGGGAAGAAGGACACTTCTGGAACCTGCTGCCACTGTGACCAGATTTTGGATAAGTGGTTGATAATGGATGAATGGGGTGGAAGACTTATAGCACACACTGTCTCCTATGTTCCTCTCTCCAGGTTGATGTCCATAATGAGAGTGACTTCTGCAGAGACAGAGGTGGTGGTAGCTGTGAATTATTACTATCTCCTGGCCCGCAAACCCAAGGAAGCCTGACTCCTGCCAGCACTCACATTGACAACAAAATCATAAATGTTGTTGACACAGAAATTAACACTATATTTTGCCTACAAATTTATATAAAGGCAGTAGTTAATATTTTAGAAAATACACATTAGCTTTTTGTTGAGCTTGTTGCATCCAGTTAGCATAGCATCACTCCTCCCTCTTTTTTCTGGTGCTGGCAGATTTATAAGAAAGGTTTAGATAGACCATATTAGAGATTTGAAAATCCTTGTGTTAAGCTTAGTTAAATACAGACTACACTTAAATGTTATGTGTAATTAGCAGTAGTGGAAAGTAACAAAGTACATTTACTGAAGTATTCACTGACACTGAGTATGTGGATGTTAGCTAAATAGCTGCATGGGGCTCAGATAGGGTTATATAGCATAGGCAGACAACACAAACACAGGCAGTGGTAGAAAGTAACTAAGTATCATTACTCAAGTACTGTACTTTAGAGTTTTGAGGTGTCTGTACTTGAGTATTTTCATTTTGTGCTACTTCATACTCTATAAATGTAAAAAAAAAAAAAATCTGCACGAAGCTTCAGCCACACAAGACACTGATCTAAGAAAAATAATTTCTTATATTATTGGTTGCACTGGAACTTTCCAATCACAATAAGTGATCATTTTGAAGATTTTATGAATATTTCTCACTAACTATGATTGTAGTGCAGCTTTAAAGACTTGCACATTATATAAACTGGATTGATGCAGTTTAAAAGTAGTTTTTGAATTTGTATATAATATTAACTTGTTTTTAACATTTTAGTGACTGATTTAGTTGTTTTAATCTTGCTGCTTTTTTCACCTACAAATCACCAGAATCATTATTACCAGGTCAGACTGAGGTTACAGTCACAGGTCATCTGCTGCCACCAACATTTTGAGTGAATGAGTGGATCACCTTGAATATAATTGAAGTGTTGTGACTTTGTTCTCCACCTCAGGGTCTTTCACTGCTGCTGCTGTGTATTTTGAAGATAAATGGGTATTATCAGGGTCTAATATGTCTTGCTCCTCTGGATTAAAATGGTGGCTCTGTGCTTTGTTTACCTACTATACTGCCATGGTGAATCATAGAATCAGCTCCACTAAGGAAGGCTTTTTATAGTCACACACACATGCTTAACTCAACTTAACTCAACTCAACTCAAGACAACTCAACTACTTCTGATCAGCTGTTATGGAACTGAAAACCCAGAGTTTTCCATGTCAGGGTTAACTGCTGAGTTTGTCTAACCTGCTTTCTGAAATATCCCTACAACCACTAACACCACCCTGTGTTCGCTGGGAGACACAGGAGAATCCAGTTACTCCAAATAACTTTCATTGTCCTCCACTGATCTCTTGACTTTCTATCTGATTTATTTACACCTGATCATAGACTGTTACAGGAAAGGAAAAATGACTGAATTCCATTCCTTGTACCAAAAGCTGTCAATGAAGTCTGTGACTGTTCTGGATGTTGTTGTATTAAAGCCCCCAAAATGGTTTCAAAGCATATCACAGCGTTTCTGAGTCTTGCTTGCTGAGAACTCTGTAGTGAAATAATTTCTAATTTCATTTTGTGCATTTCTCATCCTTTTGACATTTTTGGGATCCCCTGTCTCATTTAAAGTATTGGTAGTCAAATTTTAAGTTGCATTTAAATTTGAATTTGGGCCTGGAATTGCACCTGAGATTTTGTTGTCACATTTGTGTTCACATATCCTTACATGACTAGAGCGTCTCAGAGACAGGCATGATCTCTGTTTCTGCAGATTTATTTGTTTGTGCTTATGAATTGTGTCCCCACCCCACCCCCGGCAGGTTCCCTTGGCTTCACAGTGCTTTGTAATGAGTTTCAGCTCATTATGTTGCAGTCTGGCTCACAGGTGTTTTGATTCAGTCTCACTGCTCTCAAAGTGAGCAAGCAGCTATTTTCAGTGAAATAAGTGCTAAACACCCACAGTACACTACCAAACAGTTTGCAACGAGCTGGTGAACATGCTGGAGCATAAAAGAGCTGTGTATTTCCCATGTGAGTCGGTAGGGAGTAAATAGTGAATGGCCACAACTCAGAATGAATGCTAATGTTACTCTGACAGATAAAGATTAGACTAGTTTATTCATTTCCACTTGGGTATCTACATACAGTATAATCTTTCAATCTATAATTAACGGTTGCGCAAACAAGTTTTCCATCTTAAACTGTCAACATAAGGTGATATGTGTATGTAGAACGCCAAGTGACAAACAAATAAAAAAGCAGTTCTAAGGAGTGTGCAGGGAGGAATGCTAGTCAAATGACTCTTCATTGGTCTCCTAATCTTTGTAGTTGACCTTGTTCGTGATGTTTGCCTTTTTATGCTTCACTGGTGGAAAATGCTCACCTTGCTTTTTCCACCAGTGGAAGATCTGTAAACTGGGTGAGGAAAACTAAATTGGGTTGTCAAAATGCAGGTTTTAGAAAGTCTTTATTAACAAATAAGAGTACAAAAAACCAAGGTGTGTAACTGTGGTGCTAGGAGCACTCAGGGGACACTTAGGTGGAGCTGGGGACGAGGCAGGCAGAGGAGCTGCGGGGCTGGAAACACACAGGTGAGTCGGGTAGGCAGGAGAGTGGTCGGGGTAGCTGGAGTCTACAGTGAGATGAGTGGTCGGGAGGAAAACCAGACAGGTTCTAGGAACACAGGGAAGTAGCAGACAAACTCATAAGGTAACAGAGTAACCTTGGGAGCATTGTTAACTGCGTAACAGACCAGCAAGTCACTGAGGAAAAGGAGGTGGTATATATGGTTGATAAAAAAACAGGATGATTAGCAGAAGGTGAGGACAGTGAACACTGACTGAAACCGTGGTAAAGGAGAGGTGGAGCGGAGCAGGAAAAAACAAAAAACAAAAGCCTGAACACAGGAAGCGAAGCTAAAACATAAGAAATGTAAAATCTTACATTATGTGACAGTTTTAATTTGTTTTTAACTTGAATGGTGAGATAAAACGACCCTTAGTCATAGGACACTGCCTATGTTTTTTTTTTTTTTGCTCATATACAGTATGCCACATTTTCAGACTATCAGACACCAACAAATATAGAAAAGGGGTGTATTCCATAATATGTTGTACAACAGAGACATTCCTCCCATGAGTCAGTGCATGAGTCACCTGGTGATATAAACTTTTGATGAGCCTGTGACTTCTGGCACTTGCAAACATTGCACATTACATCAGTTTTCTACGTGCCTGAGGGCAGCACGACAAAGTATAGCCACCAAAGTTTCTTCTGTCAGTGTCCATTTATTGTAAAAAGACATCCTTCTAATATATTAAGCTACATTCCTTCCTGCGTGTGCTATTTCTGAGCCTCATTTTGGGAATTTACATCAAATCTGATGTGACCTTGAGGGTGACCCGATGTTTAGAGTCACTCATCTAACTAGCAACTATATACTGTATGTGCTTTTCTTACATAACAAATCTCATAGATCCTCATGTGCCATTCAAAACTAAGACTCACCCTGCTCAGAACCAATTAATGTGTTAATTTAACTTTAATAGAATTTAGATTCTTATCATTTACTGTAGGTTATGTGCAGAAATTATTATAAAAAGCACTATACTATTTGTACACTCTTAGATCATGTGTTCTGCTTGCACAGTTTCTAAATTACCTCTATGGTTATAGCAACAGTGCAGCAGAAAGCAAACAGAGTAAACAGTTACTATTGCTATGGGCATTAGTCATGCTCTAGCAGACGTTTTTTTTGCTTTAAACTGAGTCGACACTACGCTCACATCTGGGTCATGTGGCCCAGCTGGGAGCGCAAAGTCCCCAGTGAAACACTTTGTTTGTACATGATTAAGATTAGAGCCACTGGGGCTGCTGTCACTGCTGCTGCAGTCGCAGTCACGGTCTGACATGCCAGATGTGCCTCTAATGCTCATGAAGCATAACTGATGGTATAACAATGTATTAAGAGAATACCTTTAAAAAACTTTTTTAAGTGAAAGATTGAAAATGTTTTCTGATAGGAGACAACTGGATTTTAGACAGTTAAGTCCCCTTAATTGTGCCCCTCATTGTGTACATGTTCTGTCACATGCAAACTATTGAACTCAACATGAGGAATTCAAATAAAGAGCAACATATACAGGAAAGCTATTTTCCTATAACATGTGTGTTTGCACTGAAAGGAATCATTAAACAGAATGTCCAAAAGGAGAAAGATAAAGATTTTTCTCCTGTTTGCACTGATGGCAGGTTGGTTTACTTAGTGCTGATTTGTATGATGGTGACTCGAGATGCAGCAGTGCAGCTTAATGAAATCCATTAACAACACAACCAGTTCCTTCATCTGTGAGCTTAGCTTGTTAGCAATATTGCTATGATGGTGATCTTACAAGCTTTATCAGTCTCATCAGCACAGCCATTAAAAAACAAAAACAATGTGTGACTTCTTCTAATAAGCAGAGTGATTAAACCCCAGTCATGAACATGAGATGAAAACATGAGTGAGGAGACAGGCTTCATGTCTTTAAGACAACACAAACCCTGGAGCAGGAGACAAATCTGTTGACTTCAGAATAACATTCTCACGGTTTCACTATCGCTGTTGGGGTGCAGACATCCAAGCTGACAAAAACTAATTAAACATTTACTTCTTTCAAAAGGATTTTGAAAAGATGAACAGAAGTCTAAAATTCCTTAAGGTACAACTTCCATCAGTTAATTGCTCCCTTTGGGTAGAAAAGCAAAACAAACTTTATTAATCCCCCTCGCTCGCTACACTGTTGTTGAGCCCAAAGACCAAAATACAGAAATATTTTATTTTAAAGTGAATGCCTTCATTCTGCCTTGTGCCTTCATCAGCACCGGGTTTCAATCTTCAATAGGTCATTTGAAGAAAGGGTGAAAAGTTTTATTTGTTGATATCTTCTGTATGTTCACAATATTGTCCTCCCTGTTTAGGATTTTCAGTCCCATCTGAATTTTTTGTGTGAAGCACAGTGAGAAATTCCTTTGTTTATGAGCATTGCAGAATGCCTGATGGCATCACCTGTCTAAACAAATGTAGATGAATTATACAATATAATCACCCCCTCCAAGGAGGTCAGTCAAGACATTCATTTGGCTAGGTGCAATTAGCAAAGATAAAGCAAAAACAATAAAAAACATTTTTAGAGCTACTGGCCAGATTCAGCACTTTGAGACATGGAGCAGGATAACACTCACAAGCAATAAGGCTGAATAAGTGCTTCTCTTTATTCTACATAATGTAGTGTTAGGGGTAGAGAGACAATTGGCAGGGTCCCTCACAATGCCAGAGAGAAGGAGCACCTGGCGGGATCTCCCATAATACCCCTCTGGGCAGGCTGTATGAAAAAATGTGAAGGTACATCATGCCATGTTGAATGCCAGAACGGGGGGCTGTGAGCTAAATCGCACCAAATGCAGTGCCTTTGTGGACACAGGGTCCACCATCTCCCTGGTGCAGCTATGGAAGGAAGAAGGGCTGATCCAGCATGTTCCCCGGCAGCAGGACCAGGTGGGGGCACTGACGGATGCAGGGCCTCGCCAGACACGGGCCCAGGATGCTTACAGCCCAAGAGAGAAGTTTGTCCCTGGTGCGCTTGGTGTGGATGTACAGCCCTGGACGGAAGAAGGGCTTGTCCCCACAGTCAGTGAGCAAGTGGAGCAACCCTGAGGTTTTTATAATTTAGAGAGTTTGCGTAATACTTGTAATTATATTATATAGAAAATGACACAAAAGGCAGTTAAACATAACCACTCATTATCAGCGTTGCAGTGACTGCGCTATTATTTTCTAAATTCCAAAATAGCTGCGAAAACCAACTACAACTCATGTGGAACTGTTTATCCGCTGCGCTGTGTACACGGACAACGTTAACAAGCGGGATTCTCTGCACTTCCGTTGCTCATGACACCGGAGTGAAGTTCTTACAGCTGATTTTTCAGTCAGTTTATATCCCGTCTGAGTCAGGAAATCCTCCTTTTTTAGATTACTTACAATCGGACGTGCGTGCTATAATCTCCGGTTGGAGTTACAGACAGCGCCCTCAACAGAGGAAGGTAGCTGATTATGGTGTAGCACGGAGCGCTAGCTCAGAGACAGCAGGTAAAAACAACGCTCAGACAACACACAGGCGAACACTGCTAGCATAGGTACTTTAAACTTAAACTTGCGTTTTCAGTTAAAAAGTGAGATTTCTCCGCTTCACCCACCCACCCAGATATGTGATAAATACCCGTGAGCCGAGGCTGATTTAAACTTGGACATTGTGTCTAGCTAGCCGTGGGTTTGTTATTAACGGTTTGTTATTAACGAGCTAACAGTAGCGCTACAGTGAGGAGGCGGTAACAACCTAACTCATCAAAATATTTACATCGGCAACAATGCTACATCTGTCTAACGCATGCTAAGTATCACACTAAGTTAGTTTTGGACTTACAGAGTTACAGGAACATATATAGGCAGACACAGCTTCAAGAGCAAAGATTTTTGTCAATTCACTATATGTGCAGGACATACAGACAATCGAAGCTTCAGTGACCAGTTGAACTTCGTATCGTTAGTAAATAACCTTGATCGACTGTAAAAGGATTTGATCTAAGGTGGTGGATGCGGGAGAGTTATTGTACGACAAGAGATTATTCATAAACGGGCGTTTGACTAATAGATCAATAACTCGTGTTATCCTGTGTGCAGTGGTGGAAGAAGTAATTGGATCCTTTACTTAAGTAAAAGTAGCAGTACAATAGTGTAAAATGACTCTGTTACAAGTAAAAGTCCTGCATTCAAAATGTTATTTAAGAAAAAGTGCAGAGTATTAGCAGAAAACAAGTAAAAGTAGCCATTATGTTGAATGACATATTTAACATTGTGTTTCATATTGTTGAATTATAATTACTGGTGCATTATTGTGTTTGTTACATTTAATGTTGCAGCTGGTAAAGGGAGAGCTAGTTTTAAAAGGCTTATAATTTGAATTACTGCTGGTTATCTTGTGAAATTTTCACCACAGATCAGTAAAAGCTCATGATTATTATTCATGATTTTATTCTGCCATGTAAAGTACTTTGGTCAACTAGATGTTGGTTTTAAAGTGCTATATAAATAAATTTGATTTGATTTGATTATACTGTAATTTTTGTATTAATCTGGTTCTGAAAAGTAACTAGTAACTAAAGTTATAAAATAAATGCAGTGGAGTTAAAAGTGTGATATTTGCCTCTAAAATGTAATGAAGTCAAAGTATGAAGTAGCACAAAATGCCAGGCTGCAGTGACTGACAGCAGAGGCAGGTGGACGTGGAGTCAGACTCACTGAAACGTATTTTATGGACCCACTGATACCTGATAGCTTTACTCTCAGTTACTACTGCTCCTGAGATTAACTCAGACTAGATGCACAGAGTGCAGAGGTACTAGTTGACTGTTCCCTTATAGTAGGTAAAGGACATTTGTGTCATCTCTGAAACTTTGACAGAAATGAATAAAAGAGGGAGAAACAGAACACTTTCAAAACAAGGGGGATCATCACTGTGATCATCAATACTGAATTTAATGACTTTAACCGAGTGATGCAAGCAGAGTGTCTGGACATATAGACACTGGTGTATCATCCAGGTGAGGTGAATAGGTTTTCAGATTGGAATGAATGAAATTCCCTGAGTTTCCATACTAGATATTGGCATCTACAGTAGGTATGAGGGGTTTAATTAATGTGTCTTTTGGTAGAAATTTCAGCACAATAGTGTTCTCCCTAGACTGGTATGAAAATATCTTTCTTTTCTAAGCAGACCTGAGCTTTGGCCTCAGATACAATTGATCTCAAAAGACTCTTACTGTTTTTTCATCCTTAGATTTTCCAATTCACACTGTGTGTGTGTATTTGCGCTGTGGGGGGAAACTAGAGTGCATTTTTAAATAATGGCAAAAATGTCGTTTTTTGGTAGAAGTACATTCTCATTGAAAGTGAGTACTGAAATTGACTGATGTACTCTTTATTGTGTGTGTGACTGTCAGGTGTTTGAGCAGCAGTGCAGTGCAGCGTGCGGCAGACTGAGCCAGATCACAGCAGTGTAGCCATGCTTACTTTGGCCAGTAAGCTGAAGAGGGATGATGCTGGAAAGACAGCTCGTGCCTCCGGAGCTTCCGACTCCACCCACAGGGTTTCCATCAGGGACCGCCTCCTTACCAAAGGTAAGTAGGTCACTGCCCACTTTGTCCATTTCTTTACTTAAAATTAAACTAAATGTTAGACTTTGGAACCATCTTTGTGAATTCACACTCATGGTAAAAAGAAAGTAGACCCTTTTTTAATTCTATGTTTTTGTTCATCAGGGGCTAAAAAGACAGTTGTGTTGACCTCACCAAGTTTTGTTAAACAAACAAACAAAGCCTCAGGTGACCAAAAAAATAAAATAACTCACATGCACAACAGATTTCAGTATGTGGTTAGTTCAGAAACCAGGTGAGAAAATAAAAGTACTACTTCCACAGTCATTAAGAGAGTAAACTTAGACATGATGATGCTTTTATCCAGAGCAACTGTCCTGAGTGAGTAGGTCACATAGAAATGCCTTGTTTAACAAAACAGAAGTGTGTCCCTGCTCTTCTCTCACTGGCCCTATTTTCTCTCTACAGAAGTTGCAGAACTTGAAGCCAATCTCCCTAGTAAGTATTCCTAACATCTCTATACACTGCACTAATGGACTTAGTTGAGTCAGACTCAACTTTAAGAGGCTACTGCACTTTCAGTGGCTGCCCATGCTTACATTAATGCTTTTTCAGCCACACACACACACACACACTCAGATGTTGGCCCATCTGAAGGACATCATAGACCCCCTGCTGGACTCCCTTTCAGTTTGCCTACCAGGCAAACAGGTCAGTGGATGATGCAGTCAGCATGGCACTGCATTACATCCTGCAGCACTTCGACTCCTCAGGGACCTATGCACTTGTCCTCTCTGTGGACTTCTGTGTGGACTGCACATGAGTGCAGGATTCGTTATGCTTGTTTTTGTTTGTGGTCTGAAGAGGTCGTGCTCCCCGCTGAAGACCATGAAAGCCAGAGTAGTAAAATATGAAGCACAGTGTTGAGTAGAAAATAAGAAATCTTGCTTGAAAATATTTTATATTTTATCTGTTAAAAAAGACAAAATTCTAAAAAATGACAAGTTGGCAGCAGTGTTAATTTCAGCTGTGCACATACAGCGTGCGCTCCATTACCATCGACAGTGATGGATGAAGACTTGCTGTATAACATAATGGATTTTTATTGACAGAACAAGAGCTTAGGAAAGAGCAGAGGAAGTGATCTGTTCATGTGTACTCTAAATGAGCTGGTGCAAAACATCATTAAGGGCAAAATGTAAAAAATGATATTGAACCCCCCCACTCTTAATGCTAGGCTATCTGGGGGGGGGGGGCTTTTCTTAAGGTTTTGTGAATTCATATTTACTAAGGTGTCACAGTGGGGTTTTTCACTGGAGAAACACAAGAAAAGCGACACCACAGGAATTTGCACTTTGGTCTCATGCAATATGTATTTTCAGGCATTTTCATTGAGGGAGGAGAGAATGGAAATTTATACAAATACCCTCAGTGCCTGATTTATCACCGCTGCAGCCCCGCTGTCAGCGTGGCATCTGTTAGTCATCTGAGGTCTTATCAGACTGAGACTGAAGAACATATTTGAGGAAGGAGATGGTGTATGTAAATCGCATCGCTCACCAGAAGAGAATGTGAAGGACTTGTACAGGGTTTCAGGTGAAACCATGCTTCAATCACTGAACAGAATAAAAGATGATCTGACTGGCAGCAGACTACATGATTGAAGTTCTGAGATGCATTTTTTGATTTTTTTTCAACCATTTTAAAGTTCAGTCGTTGTAGTCGTTACACTTTCTTCTACATTTCCTCTCAGTCCACACATGCAACAGCCTTCTGGCAGCAAATCTGAAGCAGAGGTGTATTCATATTAACACAGCTATGGCTGTGCTCCCTTACATCACCATTGTTGGTAAATATGCCACTAAATAAAAAAAAAAAAAGCGGTGCCACAGTATTTCCTGGTCCTGATGGTGATTTGCCACAGGTTTAGTAAACATCCCCGCTGGGTGTCTTTAAGAGAGATCAGTTGGAATTGGAGCTCAGTGAAGTGGCGTTGTCTTTCAGAAGCATGAACATTGTTAGAAAGGACAGGGAAATAGGAGGCAAACTGAAGGCAAATTATACAGGCAAACAAAGGAAGTATTCAAGGCTGGAAAACAAGGACATATCTTCTAAACTCTAGGTGAAAGGCAGGACTCAACACCCTCTCATTCAATGATACTACTGGACTGAAAAGAGAAGTGTCAGGTGGGAATTTGTCCCCCCATACAGTTCTGCACACAGTCCTGTACACATAAATGTTTTTATACTTCAGCTATCAACTTGCACTTCAGTAACCTGTTATATTGTTTCATCTGTATGATGATTGTTGGGGCATGTGATGTTCAACAGGTGTCTGTGGGTCTTATCGAATCTCAGCATTTGCTCATTCAGTGACTCAGACATCACTTTAATCATTCACTAAAGCAGGTGAAGTTGGCAGAAATGATCCATGAGCTTGGTGGAGAAAGTTCGAAAGAGACAAATTAGCTTTCAGATGTGATACAATGATCATCAGTTATTTGTTGAGTACTACATTTACATCAAGCCCACAGCAGATTATTCTCCTTGTGAAAAAGAGCTGTATGGTTACGTTTGGTTCAAAGTTTCCTTCATATTCATAACATTCATGTTTACTGAAAAGAGCTGTTTTAGTTAGATTAAAAAGCACTGACACATGAAAATGGTTACATAAAATACTCTCCCTGATGCCTTGAGCGCAGTAAATGTCTTTGAACACCAGGGGGGTATGTGGTGCCACGGGGAGTCCCACAGGCCTGAACACAATGTCTGATGAATGTGCAGTGACTGAGAAAATACATATTAGGTACATAAAATATTAGTTTTAGTGGTGGTGTTGGGCACATATCAAGAAATAAGAAGTAATACTTGACCTTTATACAGCCGCTTCTGTCTTTTAATCTTTCACTCTAACATCCTAAACTCTCTTTCTCCATCTCCCCCCAATTTGTTCTTGTTCAGGTACATGTAAAGCCAGTTTTCCAGATGAGGACAAGCTGCATCACTTTCAGCTGGCGGTGTCACCTGGTAAGAGAATAAGAAAGCAACCATCTCCGTCCGTCCTTTGTTCTGTTTTCATTGAAATAACAGTTTGGATAATTTTTAAACTACTTTGTTACATGGGATGAAGAGAAATTAGTGACAGCTAATGCCATTTTGGCCTTCATCATTGCCGTGTTAATACTGTAAACACTTACTGCAGCTGAAGGTGTTTTACAATCTAATGCATCTGAACATAGTCGCCAATAAAATTAACTGGTATAGTGCAAAAGATTTAGCCTATTAAAAGGATTTTATTAAACCGTTATTAAAGCTTAAGAAATACTGGATGAAAGCAGTTAGAGATGCCTAAATAAAGCTGCTATGACATTACACCCAAAATCTTGTGTTTAAGTTGGTATGACAAACCTTACAAATACCCCAAAACTGAATTTTGACATCACAGGACAAAACATCTGTGTATTTGTGTAAAGCCAGAAAAAATGCTTTACAGTTCATTATAGTAATGTTTTGTTGTGCTTGGCGCTATACAAACAAAATTGAATTGAATTGAAATGCACCATGGCCTCTCAGCTGCTGTCTGCTGTGTGTGGAGGTGCAGAGCCCCACCCTTGATCGAACGTGGACCCACAGAGAGCAGAGGTGACTCAGTGAGGAGAAGCCACTACATAAGTTCTTTCGGTTCTTACAAACAGAACTCAAGGAAGTTGGTTGCACCTGTGCGCCCAAATAATTGTTCTCCACTTACACGTTCTGGCTTTTATTTGCATATATGAGTGAAATGCTGGCACTATCAAGCCTTGTTTCTAGACAATTTGGAAGCACCACATGTGGGCTGCAGTGGAGTAGGGTGTTTTGTGTGTGGCTGCTAGTTTAGGCAATTTGTTTCTAGGTCTGTGTGTCCTATAAAGTATTCCCTTTAAATGACACTCCAGTCTTCTCTTTATTTGAGTGTTACTGCTGCACTGTCATTATTTCCCAAGTCAAATCTGCTGGCTCAGCAGTGTTCCAAGCTTAACCGTGTTACATGTCAAATATTGTACAAACCAAGCACACCGGAGTAGTATTACCCAAGTCTCTGGAGGCTGTTTCATTTCCCACTTCCTGCTCTCTGTCATATACACATACATACTCTCTGTCCTCTTGTTCTGTGCCACCTTCTCATTTTCATGTCTGAAGATGTTTCAAAGTCAACTCGAGAGACTCTGAGACAGAGTTAAAACTGGAAAGATGGGCAAAGAAAGAGACTGGCAACTGAGTATAGTGAGTTAACAGGTTTTTGTAATAAAGTAATACCTTAGTATGTTCTTCTGTAGTATTTTCACACTTTCTCTCAACTAGCTTCAGGTATGGTTTTCCAACAGTCTTGAGGGAGTTCCCATATATGCTGAGCACTTGTTAGTTTCCTTCACTCTGTTGTCCAACATTGCAAACTATCTCAGTTAGTTTTAGGATGTAGAGGCTAGGCAAACTGGTGCAGCTCCATCACTCATGTATGTCCTGATTCCACTAAGCACAAACAAGATGGGGTGGCATGTTGATGCAGGACGTTGTCGTGGTAGCCATGCATGTTTAGTGTGCCTTGAGTTCTGAATAAATCTCCAACAGTGTCACCCCACACATCACCCACCCTCCTCGTACATGCTTCATGGTATCAGAACGACACAGCAGTTGGAATGATAAAACCTTGAATTTGGACTCTTCAGACCAAACTAAAGATTTCTGCTGGTCTAATGTCCATTAGCCAATGCAGTTCTTTTAATTTGTCTTTCAGAGCTCCTGAAAAGTTTCAGACTGACTGATCTTCGTGTCTTAAATGATGAAGTGTTGTTTCAGCTTATTTAACTGAGTAATATATATAATATGATTACTACAGGAGTGAAATACAGCTGTTTGCTGTATCCCGATAACACCTTGTCACAACACAACTGATGGTGTCAAACACATTAAGGAGGCAAAAAATTCTACCACTTAACTTTTGAGAAGGCACACCTGGTGATTAAAAACCATTCTACCTAATCAAGACAGTAGTGTGCAAAGCTGTCATCAAGGCAAACAGTAGCTACTATGAGGAATCTAAAATATAAAACTTTATTTTCTTTAACATTATTTTACATACCATGTGTGTTGTTTCATTCTTCAGTATTAATCTACAATGTAGAAATAATAATAGTAACACTAATATAATAATAGAAACAAAGAAAAACCATTGAATGAGAATGTGTGTCTGAAGTTTGAGTGGTGTTAACTTTAGGGATCTGGTTCACTGAGTTTTTTTATTGAGTTACTACTTGATTGGGTTTTAGAATAACTGGTGGTATATTTATTTCGGAAAGAGTTTTTTGTGTTTGCTTGTTCCTTCTTCAGATAGTCCAGGAGTTGAATAATGATTTTCTACATTTCGTTTGGTAAAATTCTACATGTATTTGAAGGTTGTCTTATGGAACTGAGGTCATTTTTGTCATACCTTTATGATTCAAAGTAATGAATCCATTTAAGTCTTTTAAAGTACCCTTAGTTTTGTGTGAGTGTGTGTAAGTCTGTATGTGTGTGTGCCTTTGATTCTCTCTGCAATCTGAATAGGCACTGTAACGCCAGCTTAGTTTTCACAAAGGCCTTTGTAAGCAAAATCTGCAGAGAAAAGCAAAGATCAGCAATTAGGAAAGGGTTTGGTGTCATGTTCTTCAAGAGGACTAGATAAGGAGATTGAGTTCTTAGAGAAAGGCTTCTTCAATTATTCAAAACCATTGTCTCCCCTAATGCAACCCCCCATTCCCCCACTAGCGTTCACAAGCTCTTTTCTTTTCTGCCAGTTCTCTTCCTGTCTCTTGTTTAATTTTGCTCGTTACTCTTTTTTATGTTGTTACACTATGCTGTCAAATTTATTTTAAGAAGTATATTAGGTGGATACTATCCACAGAGAAGCTTTAATTTGTGCTGTAGGGAAGGTAAATGTGTAGCAAACTGACTAATGCAAAGGGACCTTGCCTCGGGATGTAGGTTGTTGAATCCACTGATCTGACATAACCACTGGCAGGTGAAGTGAATAACGTTGACTGTCTGTTACAGTGGCACCTGTCAGTGTGTCGGGTGTATTAGGCAACAAGTGAACATTCAGTCCTCAAACTTATCTTATCTCCTCTACCAATGCTGCGTTGAAACACAGCAGAGAGTTGGGTTTTTACCAGATCGGTGTGAATATCCGCTTATGGTTTTTATTTTTCTACAAGACAGTCTAATACTTGACTCTTTGGTAAAGGATGTATTTTCTGAGCTGTCTTCATTGCAGGTGGACCTTCTGTTCTCTCATCTACAGTATTTGTGGATGTATGTGAAGATAAAATGCAAGTGAAAATCACGGTTGCCCCATGAGTAACAGTGAATTTAGAAAAAGCTTCTAGAGGAGTATTGTCACATTTCGAAACCGAGGTCATCAGTGTGTGATGATAGAAGGCGATCTTTTAACAGGAGTCCTTCAATTTATGTTGTTCATAAAACACATTTTTGTCTGTAAAGTACTGAACATCCCTTCTTTTTTTATTAAACTTTATTTATTTTCTTTGTTTTCATCCAGATGAAGGTTACTACCAAAGTGGAAGGTTTCATTTTGAAATAGATGTCCCTGAAGCCTATAACATGGTGGTGAGTGGTTCAGTTTTCTTTTATGGGTCCATTTGTGTGTGTTTGTGTTGTCTGCCTATGAATTTGTGTGATCGGTTTTATTTGATAGCTTCCAGTTTTAGCCTGTTATAAAAAACACCTAACACATAAAACACCTGTCAAGTTGTGTGGTCTGTTTTGTGTCCTGTCCTGTTTGTGCAAAACAGTCTCCAGAGCAGAGCAGTGGTGTCCTCCAGTGATCAGCTGCTGGCACAAACCCAAAAGTATGCATGGCGGCACCAGTATATCATTTGGTTTGGTTTAAAATTCATATAGGAACATCCAGATATTGAGTAGCTTACTCTGTTCACCTCTTTTTTGTCTGTTCTCCCATTCACACTTGCCTCACAACCTTTATCTTACCATGCCAGTGTGTGTTTGTCCATGTCATTGCATTTGTATATACAGGTGATAAATAAAGGAAAGACATAAGTGATGTCTTCCAGGACGACAGTGCACAATGGGTCACTGGTGGCCTTCACAGACACCAGCTCTCAACCCAGTTGAAAACCTATGGGAGATGTTGGACTGACGTGTTAGACTGTGTGTGTGTGTGTGTGTGTGAGAGAGAGAGAGAGAGAGAGAGCCGGGCAAGGAGCGGCTGAGTGAATCAATGCACTGCATGCAGGGAAATATGATTGTACCAATTTTAAATGGTAAAAAAATAAATTAAAAAAAGAAAAAGAAAATCATGAGTGAAGGAAAAACTGCTTTCTATTTAATCGATCGCGGGTGGCGTAGATCTCTCCGAGAGAAAAATTCTAATAATGAAAATGGGTGCCCAGATATACTCGGGCGGCCCACTCAAGCAGTCTGTGTGGTAAACACTGCTGTGTGGCTTTTGATAGCCAACAAAAATGACAGCTGCCTTTCTCTTCCTGTGAAACTGATCTGTTTGACTCCTCACAGCTGAAGAGTCTTACAATAACAGACAAGAAGAGAAAATACACTACGCTCACAAGTCAAATTCTTCTGTTATTTGTTTTATCAGGCTCTGATGTGTGAAATCAGTTTGAATAATTATGGTTTATTATAGAATGTAGTAGTAAATTTGAATGAAATGATTTGAATGGCATTAGCAAATAACAGTTGGCTCGGAGAGTAAACCTAGGGTATCATTAGAAAGTCATCAAGGATTTTATAGTTGCATGTAACACTTGTTTTTAAATTTGGCTCATAGCAGGTTTAATATTGCTGTAGCTTATTTATGTGGTAATTATAAAACTAATGTTGTAGAAGCAGAATGTCTAGACACAGTACATCTTCACCTAATCACAGACCCATTTACTTAATGATGAACATTTGATCGTGTTCTCTGGACTGATCAATCCAAAATATCTGCTTAATTATGTTGTTTTGCAACAGCAGCAAAATCATCAGTTATCTGCATTGACACCTTGTGTAAAGACGTTTAACAGAGCAGCAAAATCATCAGTTATCTGCACTGACACCTTGTGTAAAGACGTTTAACAGGCAGAGACTCTCCAACTAGTGAACATTGGTTAATAAAGGTTATTTTCTAATTAAATAAAGTAATTAAATTAATAAAAGTGTCTTTCCCACCCTCTCTTCTTTCTTGCTTTTCTTTGTGTATTAAAATCCAGCCTCCTAAAGTGAGATGTCTGACTAGAATATGGCATCCGAACATCACAGAGAATGGGGAGATCTGTTTGAGGTAATGCTGCTTACTCTTCCTCTAGATCTTTCTTTTTATTCCTGGTTGTTGAATTTAATTTTATTGTGTTTTTGTCTTTCCTACTTTACCTGAAATCTTTAATATGATGTTAGATTTATGTTACTGATTTTTTTAAAGGTGGTACTGAGGCTTATGACCTTTGGTGATGTCTGTGGGTCTGTGTGAGGGGAATCATAACAAGGAGTTTACAGAACATACTCAGAATCACAGGCTTCCACAGGTTGTCATGGATAATGTGAAACCTTTGTAACTAACAGTGACTTTTTGTTCCCCCAGCTTATTGCGGGAACACTCTATTGATGGCACAGGCTGGGCCCCCACCAGAACATTAAAGGTAAATAAATTGCCTTTGCAGGGTTGATGTCAAATAACTAATTAATCTAGCAGCCATTAAGAAAAATTCATAACTCATAATTAGAGGTTGTGAAGCCACAGTACAAAGTTGTAGAAATGTAAAGGAAAACCACGACTCTACAGTGTTTGAACATGTCAGTCAAAATGTGTGTGAATGTAAATAATGATTTAGGTGTGCCCCCTAGTTATAACATTAATATTTATTCAAGTATAAATGCAACGCGCTATCTCCATACAACAGTGATACAGAAGCGATACAGTTCAAAGCTGGAGTCCAGTCAGTGATACCACATTATGAGTTTGCTATTCACAAGAAGCATCTGCCGATACCAACAAAGGCAGAGATCTCAGAAGACATATGATCAAGAATTGGTGATTTGCAAGTTAAAGTTAACTCCATGGTGCTACTGTGAAAATGTTTTGACTTCTGAAACTAAAGTTGAATCAGTTGGGAAGAACGCGCAGGTCAGTGTATGTTGTAAAATGGGCACTGCAAAACATCAACCTGTGGAGTACGGTGGAGGCTGGTGTGGTGCCTCTGGGCCTGGACTGCTGCCATCATCGAGGAGGAGATAATGTCAGGGAAAAACTGCTGAAGCTCCATAGAAGTTGGATGATGACCAGATCTTCTCCAGAATGGTTTCTAAAAAGAAATTTAAAATGGCCCAGTCAGAGGCTGCACCTTAACCCAACAGAGATGCTGTGGAATGAGCTCAGAGGGCCATTCACACCAGACACCCTAAGAATATTGTGAGGAAGAATGGTCTGACGTTCCTCCTGAATGTTGTGCAAGTCTGATCCTCAGCTACAGGAAGTGCTTGATTCAGTTTATTGCTGCCAAAGGAGGTTTGACCAGTTATTAACCAGTTAGTTTTTACATCAGCACTATGAAAGTTTAATGGATATGTTCAGTAATGACATGAGAGGTCACAGTATGTTAATAGGATAAGCACATTGTGTTTGTCTTGTGACTTAGATGATCAGGTCACATCTTATGAGCAGTTTTCTATAATATTCACTATACTTTTGACTGTACATGCTTTACCCTTCACTCTGCTTTTACAAGCTCTTAAAAACACTGTCATTGTAAGCAAGGACACCCTTTTCATTTCTGTTCAAGATTTGACCAAAATTATGTTTGATGGCAACTACAACATGAAACGAAATGTGACTGTATGGTGCAGCTTTGCCTTCCACATTACGTTTTGTCTTAAACATTCTCATCCAGTCAGATACACTGGTGTTTGTCTGCTCAGACTCACTACGCTAACATTCTTCCCAGTCGCTGCACTGGGATGCTTTTGTAATTGTGGAAATATGCAGATGTATGCACAGTTATTTTTGAAGTGGGGAGAGATGGCACTCTTATCTTCATGATCAGTTTAGAGGAATATCCATTAAATCCTCTGATTACTTCTCAAGTGTGCTGCTCTTGGAATTACTATCAGGATTATCCTAAATAAATCCCTTCCTATTTCTAAGTTGTAATACATTTGTGTCAATCCAGGTTACAGCTTTTTTTTTTTTTAACCAACCATATTAAAAAAAACCATAGTCAACATACTTGAACATTGCCATGGCAGATAAATTTTGCCTTATTCAAATGTCATAATGTCAAGTTTAATGCCTCCATCTCAGTGAACACATCACGTTACATGATGTTATTCACATGAACTACCCAGAACTAATTAGATTCTCTGCCAGGAAATATTACAGTAGTAGCACTTCATGGTGTCACACACAGCACGCTGTGATAATGGCACACCTTTAATGTGGTCGCAGTGCTTTTGTGCTGCTGCATGGTGTGTGTCACAGGGTGATTTCTGTATGTGGTGTTCAGTTTAACAGGAGCCCACAACAGCACTGGCAATGATGTGATGTCACATCATGCTACACTGAGATTGTGCAGACGGTATACTGCACAATCAGGTACCCCCCCCTTTTTTTACACTGAAGCTGAGGAAAAGCCCTGTCATCGTGGTTTATTGTGGTTTTATATTTTATCACCAGTCTATGAAAGATACACTGCACTGCTTACAGTATGTGTAGAGGAAGAGACAGCTGCCTCTTTTACAACAGTCACTCAGAGTTTGCTGCTGTGAAACACCAACCCCGTCTCCCACAAATTACATTAATGTAGTACTAAATTGTTTTACCAATTATGTTGTGAGGACAAATGCAGTTGGTGGCTGGATTACGTTCTGAGATCATGAATGTTTGAACGAATAAATCCGTACATTTATTCCTGGCAGTGCCGGGGTGGATGGCACATGACCATGGTTTGCCTCCCAACTGCCCTCTGTGTTGTTAGCTGTTCATTTCTGGAAACATTATTAGCTTAAGAGAACAAATTTGATTTGCATTGCTGATCCTTTCTACTACACGGTATGTGGGAAAATAACTATCTTTCTTCTGCATTTCATGCACCCTACGCAGCCAGTGTGGTTGTGGGTTGTGCTGGTGTCTGTTCAAAGTCTGTAACTAAGCTTTGATTATATTCCACTTTTGTAGTGAGAGTTGCAGTCTGAAATGATCACCATTTCCCTTTCATCGGTGCTGTTGTCCTTGGCTGGCGTTTGATCCCTCTTACCATTTTAGATAGCCTAAAATAACTAACTCCAAATACAGCAGTCACGTCAGATGAGCAAAATCGTAGATGATCACAAACTTTACTGTGCATCTCTGGTGTGGCAGGTTCAGATACTGTATGCAGTGTGGTGATGCTAGGTCATGACATGGCTCCAAAAGCTACCATAGGACAGTGAAAACCAACAGTTTTACCCACAGAAATCACCTCATCAGTTCATATATTCAGCCAGCTTTTCTGTAATTTTTATGGTTTTGTCAGGTCCACCAACCTCCAACGTTGACTGCTTCTGTGCTGCCTTCATATCTGTCACCTGTGAGAGGTTAATAATATTAAAAAAAAAAAACTGAAGTTATCCTTTAAAGTAATGTCAAACTCCAGACATTGTTCTCCTGATGTTGTACATTGCCTGACAGCAACCAGGAGTGGCTGTCATAAGGGAGAGTATCTCTGAAGCACAGGAAACATGTACATCCACCTGAACACAGTAAAAGAAACGTAAAAAAATAGCGATTTTTAGGCTCTGGTCACTGAGTTTCTGTTGCAAAAATGCACCTTGAACAGTTATTGTTATAGTGTGAAGTCTGTAGCAAGATGCAGCCATGTAACTGAGTGGGTGACAAAATAAATTCTTTTCATACTTAATTATATTGTGACAGAAATACCCGCTAATGAAATAAATAACGATTTTTAGTGGCTTGGATGTCGCTCATAGATGTGCTGGCTTGGCTATTGTGACCATTAATTTTTTTTTTAATCCCTGGTCTGTGTCAGACTGTTTGTGGGTGTTTTGTCTTGTGCCTGGGTCAAGTTGAACTGCAGGCTGTCATTGTTTACTTAAATGTAGGCGTGGATGTGGTCATAAGTGTGAGAGTGGTTGGGCTCGGCTTCATTTGTGTCAGCGAGTGTCACTGTGAGTGCACAAAAATATGCAAACAAAAGTGAGTGCAAAAGCTGTGAGTCAGAAAGGATTGTGTTGAGTGGGTGGTGATGTCCCTCTTCAGTGGTCACCACTATTTTCTACTTTTCTGCTTTAGACACACACACACACACACACAGTCTCATGTAAAATACCTTTATATTAATAGTGTATAAGGTAAATTCAGCACAATTTATACTTGTCAAGCACTGAGTACAAACATGTACTCCTCTTTATTGCTTTGAGTTTTTGAAATATTGTGCTATTAGCTATAAATTATATGCCACTGGCTTAGAACTTTAATTTTGCCAGATTGTTTTTTTTTTTTTAACTTAAACTACTGTTATATACTTATCAAACAGGCAGTTAAGTATTGTATAGTAAAAAAAAGGGTGCTTTCATGGACATAGTGGGTGGTTTGCTGGTTACTAGAACATCCCTTGTCCGGTGTACCGTAGGTACGCACACAGTTGTATTGTAGGTGTTTTGTCTTCATTCCCGTTTCAACTTTTCATAAAATCTTTCTGGGCTCCCATGTGATGAGTGCATATTCTAATTCATTTTTTTTTAGCTGTAAAACAATTTGACACTTTTTTTCTATTTTCTAGGACGTGGTCTGGGGATTGAACTCCTTGTTTACTGTAAGTTCTCTTTTTTCTTAATTAACATCACTATGCTGCTGTTTAAATATCTAAAAACACAATCTAATTTGTAATTGCATAACCCTAGTAAATGATTGTTGCTGATTTGAACATTATTCACTATTTTTCTGACATCAGTTAATTGGAGAAAATAGGGTTAACTAATAATGAAAATGTTCAGTTGTTGCAGCCCTAGTAAACTTATCCACACCGTTTTTACATGGGAACTGTATTTTAAATAGCCTAACCCCGACTAAAGTGCTTCCTTCTTTTACCACACAGTGTTGAATGAAATCACCGTGCTTAACTGAAAAGCACAATAAATCCGCTGTGTTGCATTCCCCCCCCCAAATAGCTCATAGTTACACACAGTGACATTAGTCCAACTCAGATTAACAATGGCCATTGTTGCGCTGCCGTCTTTACAGCCATAATAAGTCATTGTGAAGAACCCTTTGAGATAATATGGCAATAAAAACAAGAATATTTGATTACAAATTGCTTGTGGAACTGTACTAGGAGCTGCTGTGGACGCAGCTGGAGCTGGCCAGTAGTTCATTACAAATTATTCAGAAAATGAAGAAAGTAGATAAATAATCTGTATTAGGGTTACAGAATGTACGTGGGAAAATATAATGCTTAACTGTTTGAAAGCATATGGGAATTAAAGGGGGCTAAATTGCATATTGACATGGTTTTAAATAAATGAATTGAAAATAAAATGTGTTTTAAATAGATTCATTAAACATTTGATGCCCTAAGCAAGGAGCAAGTAATAAGATTAGATTTAGTTCAGTGCAATATATGTGTACACTGCTAAATACAAGCATATAAATCTCCCATCATTCACATTCAAGTATCCACATTTACCCTGAGGGTCAACACTGTGTCTGCAGTGATAATGATGATGGTAATGTGCAGTAATGTGTGGCCATGATCTAAATTGTACTTCTTAATCAAAAAAACAACGCCCTAGGCCATTCTTCTATTTACTGTATCTCTGTAATAACACTTCCCTTTATGCTTCACTTGTTGTGCATGGCATCTGTAAGGCTGTAGTGTAAATATGTTACTTTGTTTCAGTTGCAGAATCCAAGGTGACATTTGTAGTCAGCAAATAGTGCTAAAGTGGGCGATAGCTCCCTCAGCAGATTTGTTTTTTAAACCGAGAAACAAAATTTGATAGCAGTAGTGATCCCGTAAACATTTGAGCTCTTGTCTTTAGTTTTTACTGCATGTCTTCCCTCTCTTTGCCTCTGCTGCAGGACCTGTTGAACTTTGATGACCCGTTGAACATCGATGCAGCAGAACATCATCTGAGGGACAAGGTTAGGCACATTCAGGTTCTAATCTGACCTTGAATCGTGTTTTATCATCGGTACAAACAGTGACTTTAGTCATTGACATGCAGATGATTCACTTGTGGAGCCTCCCCACAGTGTCTCAGATGTGCTATACAGACTCCATAATCATAGTCAGACCCTAGCTCCTGTTGATAACTTACACAGAAAATATGTTTGTACAAGCTGCTGCAAGAGCTGCTGCTTTCAGAAGTAGCTTTCAGCAACAGCCTGTGCACACGACTTGCTCTTGTAGGTGGAATTATGTGTCAGTTGAGTGCTTTTATCAGATATAGTAGGCTGAAGATAAAGAGCACGCCGGAGCTTTTCTGAGCAGATAATGGTTCTATGCATGGAACTGGTGCACAAAGTGTTATTTAAACAATTATTTAATTCAATGCCTCTACAATAGACAGCAGGCTCCACAATTTGTAAGTCAAATCAGCACCTAAACTGGGTCTCTGAATTCCACAAGTTACTGCTACTCTCTCCTTGGTGATTGTGTGGGCGATTATGTTTGTATCAGCATTGCCAGTTTTTGCCTGGTAATATGTATAAAAAAAAAAACAATAACTTAAAAACTTGCTGCTCAAAATGCCCAGTAATCATGCTTAAAAGCTGGGCTATACCGTCAGAACTGCCTGAGTTCTGCCAGTGTCCAGCATGCCATCAGAGAGGGGCTGCTCTCTAGTCCTCACCTGGTCGAGGAGAGAGTGACAATGCGAGCTGCAAACACACCTAGACCAGTTTCTATGGCAATGACCTCAGTGAGTTGGCGCTTACGTCAGCGGTGGAAAGTCTGCAAAGTGAATGAATGAGCTCACTGTGTGAACTGTAACACAGTTTTCTGGGGAGCTCACTTTTTATGGCCTGACGTATATGACATTTTTAAAGCATGTGATTTAGCTTTTTTTTAGCATAATTCCTATTGATAAGAATATGAATAATAAGAAAAGAAAAGGATGTAAAGTAACCGGCGGTGTGCATATTTCAGCACCACGGAGGTGCGGAGAGACAGAGAGAGGCCATTTTACTATGTGCACCCTTCTGTGTATTGTATTCCTGAGAGTTATGGCTCGTACATTATTCACCTGATTTGTTTTCTGTTTTATAAATGTGAGAAGGAAAACCAAGTCCCTTGTGGGTGTCACAAAGAGATGACATATTAACATGAAGCATGTCATTTAGAGAAACAGGACGTCAATACACCGCTGTAATATGGCATTAGTACAAATTTGGCAGACCTTTCAAAGCACTGCAGTGGTCCTGAGCAATATTTGTCTCTGGAAATGCTGATAGGTTGTATTATGACTTTTTTAAAAGCAGTTTAAAAATCCCCTTCAGTGTTACATTTATTTCCCATGAATTTGATGTCATTCTTGTTGAAGCACACTGAGGACAGGATGTTAAAATGTTTTGAGTTAACACAATTGATATTTTTTTATAAATTAAAGATGAACTTAGTTTTTGCTCAAAAAAATACACACCACTGGAAGTCTTGGTGATGTTTCACTGTGCAGTTCTTCTCTAAAGTCACATAAACATAACCCACTCCCACTGAGTCACTGCCTGCTGTAATCAACTTCAGCAACAAGTGGGTGTAGCTGTGGGACTCTTGTGTTTTCAGCACACGTGCATGCTTATGTATGTGGATGTGTATGTTTGTGTGTGTTGAGGCTTTTGAAGTGGAACTCCTGTGGCTGCCCTCTGAATACATTTGCTGGTTAAAGTGGCTGAAAGGAAGCATTCTCGTGGGCAATTTAGTGTGTGTACTGTGTGTGAATAATTAGCCAGTGACTGTGGTGTTGTACTGTTCTTAGCTGTGAGTCGTTAATTGCCTTAAAGGAGTGTAAAAGCTGAGCTGTGGTTAAGTGTGGATGTATATTTGTGTATTAAATTCTGAAAAATTAAATTTTAAATGCCATATTCTATATATATAGCAGTCCTGAAATCTCATATTCCCTGCACAAGGAATGAAAGTGCCATTGCAGGCGGTCAGGTTGAGCACATCCTCTGACTGATGTCCAGGGATTGTTTTGAAAGACCATCCTTCACTGCACAAGTCCCTCTACACATTTTTGTTTGAAGCCTTCTGAAGACTGCTGTGAAATGCACCCCCATGACAGTTTGAAACCCCCAGGAGAGCCTTTTTACCTCTAAATACCAATTAGGCCTCACCATAGCAGGAACGTGGAGGAGCCTAACTGCATTTTATTGAGCTTACCTAATTCGTATGCAATAATTTGAGTTAATTTGTGAAATTACAGTGATTTAAATAGTTTGCCCAATAGAAGGAGAACTATTTACAGTGCCTCATTAGTTAGTTGTTAGCTGTCTCATAGGTTAGTCATTTATTTTTGTGTGTAGTATGTAGATGTACAACATAACACATAAATCTCATGTGTAACATTGAATGTTACTTCTTTGTAACTGTGCATTGATTGTTTACTCTGGTGAGAAGAGAATTTAAGCTTAAGAGAGTGATTGTTTTAGGAAGTCAGAGTGGAGCCACAGGTTTGTTTTGACCTCCTCATAAACGCCTTTATTTCTTTAGTCAGATGATTGTACTGTACATAATTCAGGTTTTTATTGGCACAAATAAACATTTAAATGTTGCAGAGTGGACGTGGATAAGGTCAAAGAAAAGTGTTGGAGTGTCAGGCTAAGGTTTGATTGAGTGGATTACAGAACGTGAAAAATATTAGCATTAATTCATGTACACAAATTAAATTCTAAGAAGAATGTCATCTGGGTTTCTGATTTTAATCATAATCAGACCATAAGGTGTATGTCTCAAGCAACTGACTTGATTGTGTTTTGGTGCAGTACTGGATGTCATGGCAAAATCAAGTTACTGTATTTGTCCCGGTTTTATTTGTTTGTTTGTTTATGCTGTGAAGCATGTAGCCAAAATTTGTATTTCCAAGCCCCAGTCCACCGTCAGATTTCTGGTTAGAATGGGAAATTTATTGGCAAACTCACCAGTCACCCATCAGACCAAAATAGCACTGGCATTGTGGTTTATGTAACAAAACCACAAGAGGAAGTAGTGCTGAAGAACTCTTATGCACCACATTGTCTGCATTTGCAGAGAAAGTCATATTTCCTCATACAGTAACAAAATAGCCAGTGTTATGAAATACAGCTGGGGCAATTATAAGCACCACTCAAAGTCCCATGCAGCCTCACCACTAATAATGGTCTAAAAAACATAATTAAAGTATCAATACCAAAAACTTTACAAAGCTAGCATTATGTAAAAAGCTACTGTATTTCATTGGATTCCATTGGATTGTACAGGTGTATGATGACATTTATCCTGTGAAGCACATTGACCTGCATTAACCTGTATAAAAGGCACCATACAAATAAAGGTTTGAGCGATTGATTGATGTATTAGTGGATAGGAAAACATTCCCCTAAAATGTCCCAGAAATTGATCATATGGCAACTTGCATAACATCTTGTATCTTGCATTTTACTACAAGACATATTTAGTTGTGTAGAGAGCAGAGATGGAAACTGAACAGTGTAAACCAAAGTGCACATAGTGCACAGGCTCTGACACTTTAACATGCCACACAGCCATATGAACATGTGCCATTATTTAAAGGTCACATGTCTATAAAATGGCAGGGAGCAGAATGGTTCAGAAACATGTAGTACAGCACATAAATCTTAACAAAAGCTAAAATGTTGATGTCAGTATATATGGGACATATTACAAGAGAGTATACTGTAATGTGATATTGACTACCTGTCCCTCTCATGAAGCACACAGAGCGGAACCTTGGTGGGTTTGTGACTGATTGAGCTCCAGAGATCTCACATCCCATGGCTCCTGTTGTTAATCATCAGAGAGACCACCTTTCTCTCCATTTCTTCTACATGCTCCCTCTGTCCAAGTATCTGAGGTGGCTTATCCTCTTAAATCAATAATCAATCTTGTCAAACACACACATAGGCTTTCATTCCTTCTGGGGACTTTACACTGACTTGCAGTCATTTCCTGGAGACTTAACCATATCCACTACTTGGCTAACCCTGCCCCTAAATGTACATCCTGCTGTCATCTCTTTGGCCCTGTTGAGTCTAATTAGAGTACAGAAGGAAGATGAGGCATCAAGGTTGTCACATGAGGTCCTTGCTAATTAAAACAATAATTATGAATTAGACTGATAATTTGGCTTTGCTGTTAAGTCAGTGAGATCTTTAAGTTGTCATTCCACTCAGTGTGAGCTGTGCTCTGCATTATGCTCTGTTCCCAGTTTGATGGAGCAAGGTGATGATAACGATGTGGTACAGTCTATATAAATGTGCCTGAAGGCCACAGTGACCTTTCAGTATTATAAATCCGAGTCGGTCTAATAACATTAATGAAGAAATGAGAAAACAGTTGGTCATTAATGTTGCATCTAATGAGGCCAGTATATAAATAATACAGGAGCATATGGCTCCTGTCAGCTTGATACAGTGTGGACCTGTACTGTCAGTTCAGTGTCAAACTTCATCTGAGGCAGGAAGGCAGTGGAAGACGAGGGCATCAGACTAACGGTGGCACAGGGGGCAGCCTGGCTCTCTGCTGCTGTCTGACTTAATTCTTGGAAGCACCTTTTAAAACACATGTATACATATAGTAAATGCATGTAATTCCAAAGGGTTCATGTACTTTCTTTTGTATGTGGTCTGGGTAATGGCATCAGTCATGCCATGGATAACGGTTGGTTGTTTCGTTCGTTTCTTTATGATTAGTGCACGGCGTAATGAAAAGCACACCATGAGGTCATATCTTTAACCCTTCACAGTACTTTAACTTTATGCTGCAGAGCTCAGTGGGCCAAACTGGAGTTCACTTAGAAGAGCCCCACACCATTTTTAAGTCGAGCCTTGATGTGATGGGACATTTTTGCTAAACTTAAAAGATTTTTTTCATCCAGCTTAAGTGTGAAGACTCCTGGGACTGCTGAGTGTTTTCTTGGCCTCCATACCTGCACCCTGCCATTGCTCCCTTCTCTATTCCTTTGTTTCTTTGTTCACACCTCTCCTGTCCACTTCATTTTTCCATTTGCAGCCTGTTTACCTAATACATCGTGTGGCTTTCGGTTGCTTTAAGCTGATTTTAAGGGAAAGAATTGGTGCCCAGGGTCTTTAATTTGCATCCCCTTCCCACTGATGGTGGTACGTACTTTGAGTATCTGTACATATCACTGTAGGACAGCCAAGTTAATTGCCTTCCGCGGGTGAAATAGAGCTGAACAAAAAAAAAAAAAGAAAAGTAAGCTTTAGTCTAACAAAGTTTGACTGCAGAGTTTACTAATGAACACCAAACTAATTTGCAGTCATAGCCAGTTTTCTGCTGTAAGAGAGAAGATAAGAAACAAAGTAACAGAAAAGACACATTTATGTTATTGTTTTGTAAATTTACACGACTTTAGTAGTGTTATACAATTTTTTCACATTTATGCGCCACCTTAATTAGGTATACTTTTTCAAAAATATTTGGTTTTATTTTGCTCCTCGTGTGTGTCTTTGGTCTTAAGTGAGGCTAATATAAGCACAGATATTTAAATGTATTTATTTATTTTTGTGCATGATTTATCTCTGTGTGTTTGCTCCATCCATCAAGTTTATATTAGCCAGTTTAATTGGGGCAAGACATTTCTAAGACACCCCCTGTTGTGTTAGTTTATCTTCAGACCCTCTCTGGTGTCTGCACACCCTGCAAACCTCCCCCTTCATGTTCTCCACTAAAGAATATACTGTGGAAAATTATACAGCATGTACAGTATGTGCATCTTTGTTTTTTTTTTACTGACGAGAGATGGGAGAAAGACAGACAGCTAGTAAGGAATGACAGATGGACCAGTATAGTATTCACTGAGATGTACTATATGTTTCTACATAATTTTTCCAAATGCTAAGTTAAAAAGAGCAGCCTCTGTGCCCGTCCTCATCCCAGAGCTCTCTTGTAGTTATGGTTAGACAGGTCTGATTATAGTCGTCCTTTTTTAGTTTTTGTACTTCTGTCTTTCTCCTCGCTGGTTGTTTAGTTGTGTGGGCTGCAAGTGGAAGCAGTGGAGCTGGTACTTTTTCAGCCATCCCTATTTAAGTACATCCCCGCCACAACGTTTGAGGGTGCTCTAACCACGTGTCGAGCTCTGTGCACTTTGCAGCTCAGCATTTTAGAGCACACAGGCAGGGTTTTGTAAGAGCAGAATCAGATTTTAACTCTTAATCCAGGCCATGTGTGCTCTTGTTTCTGATTTGCAAAGTGAAGAGCACTCATTGCTTCTTTGCTGCACTTTCAAAGCTTTTGGTACCAACTTTCACACAAATCTGAGTACAGATTCAGAAATGAGAGCATGCATGGCCTGGATTACACTCTCAACATGAACTAACATCGCTGACTATACCTGTCAACACCATAGTTTTGGTATTCACTATGTCTTTGAACTCATCACCTGGGTTTACATCAGGTCTTGGGTCTTTTTTTCTTAATTCAACCACTTCAGCAGAAATAGAGACAAGTAATATGTTATTATGTAATAATTTATGCACCATTATTTGATGTTTCCTCTGAAATATGGTTGACAGTATTTGACATTGCACACTGCTCACAATTCGGATTATACAGCCCGCGTCCGAGCTCTAAAGTTCTAAAACATTTTTGAATTATTTGAACCACTGAACTTTCAAATTGCATTGGAGATATCACTTGGGGATGCACACACAGTATGTGCAGGCAATACCCACTGCTTTGCACTCATTGTTGCTCTTGCACTATTAAAATAGGACCTAGAGGAAGAGATAACTCAGCAGCTACAGAGCTGATCCATCATCCCACTGTGGACAGATACTCAAACTGTTGTCATTTCTGCTGAGGTTTTTGTCTCTGGCAGCTTCCTGCCTGTCATCCCTGTCTCCACACACACGTGTTTGCACAGCTATCTTTGTGAGAACACTCGCATTCCCTAGCCCCTTACCCCAACCTTATCACTGCAGTGCCTAAATACCTAAACCCAACCTAGCTTGACCTAAACTTAAATATATCCTTAACCCTAAATCCAAGTCTTAACCTCCAAACAGTTCTGTGTGTGTCAGAGACTGAGGACTGGCCAAAATGCCCTGGCTTTACCAGAAAGTCTTCACTCCCATTCTACGGTATAACATTCACACTGGTCCTCATAGTGTATTGCCATACAAGTACACACACACACACACACACACACACACCGTGTCTCTGTTCTTTCCTTCTTTTTCCTCCAACTCGTGTTTTTCTCACTCATACCCTAGAGACCACACAGAAGCCCCATCAATGCATGTGTGACTAACTGACCACGAGAGTTGTGACATAATTAGCGTGCTGATTTCAGTGTGGGACACTTACATTTTGAAATTTCATACTGGACAGATGGCATTTCATGGCTTAGACCCCTAAGGTGATGATCGTGACACCGGTAACGAGTGAAAAACAAGAGACGAGACAGACAAGAGGGAGGGGAGCTAAGAAGGAGTGGTGGACTGAGGAAGAAGTGTGCTAAGCATAGAAACTAAGTATGATAATCCTCTGGAGTACATGGAGCACACTGGTAATGTAGCCTCAAATAAACTGGTTAAATATTCCAGTGTATTTCTACTAAAATAAATAGTAAGTTGAAGTGTACAGATACAGTAAACAATTGAAAAGGCATGGCTGAAGTGACTCTGTGGTGCCCTGTCAGGACATATAATCCTATCTTGTTTACATTGGAATTAGAAATCGGAGTGGCCATTGTGCTTAATCCGCTACTTAGAGTCATCGTACTACATGAATGTTGTCACTTCGGTGCTGCTGTACATTGTAAACTGCATCATCAGTAGCTCTAGTGAATAATACCTCCTTAGCTGTGATAGTGTAGCCCCAGTTGTGACAATTCCAGTGATTTACTGTGTGCAGCTACAGTTTTGCTAGACCAAGCACTTTCATGTATAGAACAAAGGAAATCACAAAAGAGGAAACGAATTGCAGCTGAAATTAACAACAGTATAGGTTACAGCTTTTGATCATAATCCATGATGTTCTGTTTGTATTGTAATGCATTTTACCTAATCAAAGAAAAGTTTTACTGAAATATGAAGAGGATGAACACTAGACACAAGCAAGCAAGCAAGCAGTTAAATAACCAGATGCCCCCAGAACAGCCCAGCTGGTTATAAAGGAGGAGATACAAGGCTGAAATGAGGACAGAGCCATGGGGTGTCAGAAGAGGATGGAGAGTAGAGGTCGCACACAGAGCTCGACTGGGCCAGATGCAACTGGGAGGGATGGGTCAAGAGTGTGACAGATGGAAGGTTACAAGATGGATGTTTGATGGGTAGAGGTGGGAAGAAGCCAAAGCAAAACAAGAGAGGGCATTGCTCTTTGACATATTGTGCTTTTGTTGATACTCTAACTCTTTCACCCCAGCCAAGTGTAAAATACATCTATATAACATATGAATGAAATGAAACTAATTTGCATTACATCACCTCAAAACAACCTCCAGTGCATCCTTGTATTAACACTTTCTCACTTCCCAGCATTTTTAGTATCAACATATTAACCTGTGAAGTGTTTGAATGGGGACAAAATGACACATATTGTCAACATGTTAAACATTTGATTATTTGCTGATATACTGTCACTCATGTTCATTTTTACATGATATACAGTGTAATATTCCAGTTTCCTTCACTTGCAGCTCACCCTCTGGAAAATGTTTATTTAACTCTCATGCTCTCTCTTCCCCTCTTCTGTTCAGGAGGATTTTCGGAATAAGGTTCAAGATTATATCAAGCACTATGCAAGATGATAGAAGCATCTACATCCGCCTGCACCAATCAGCCCAACTGCTCTACCTTGCCTCTGCTTATCTTGGCCAACTCCCCAGTGTGTGTGTGAATCAACAACTGACTCAGTCTTTGACTCGTACCACTCCCCTCCTCTTGACCTCACAGCCTTGCCTGTGTCCCTCTCCGGTCACCCAATTGCAATAAACTCCTCCCTGCAGAAACAAAATATAAAAAGAAGAAAAACTCGTGCATTTAAGAAAGGACTTGCATTCAGAAGAAAAATGTGCTTTAATGATCCTAAATGGTTGAGTGGTACAATGACCCCAATGTCTTTTCATTGTGGATAGAGCACTGAATGACGCCACCTCACTGAGGTGCATCTGAGCCTGTCAGAAATGAGCCATGGCCACGAACAGCAAGGGATTTGATGTAACTATTTATGATGCCAAAAACAATTACAATAAGTCTGACTTGGCTGTTGTAAAATCAGTGAATCAAGACAAAAAAATCTGTCATCATCAGTTCTCTGTTCCAGTGCCTACCATGTTTGTGCTGAGAAAATGCATGTGAGTTCACAAACACACACACACACACACGGTCACATCCCGTGGTAAAAGGTGAATACATGTATGCACATTTTTGTACACGTATTACTGACACACACATTCAAGCAGTAAAGCCTCCAGCCTCCAGCTGCACTAGACAGCATGTGAATGACCACATTGTTCCATTCTGTTGTCACTGTGCTTGCATGTGCACACACATACACTCACACACACACACATATACACTTACGCACAGACTGTCTGTGTTTTTTCAGCTCCAGTGGGATTAAGTACTATTAAAACCACAACTCAGTACTGTAGTTTTCAGCTTCACCTCTCCTCTGCACCTCTACTCCTCTCATTTTGCTGTTTGTTTCTCATCCATCTTTCTCTCTGTTTATCACACACACACACACACACACACACACACACACACACAACCACTTACCTTTATTCCATTTTGGATAGAGTGGTTTATTCATACTTACAGTGCAGTCAGTGACAGTGACACATTTTTGGTATGATGGCTCTGTGCATATGCACTTTGGTGTTAAAACAATGACTATGGGTGTAAAGGACTGATTTAGATTTAATTTGACATCCACAGAAAACTTTCAGGAAGTGTAGCTCTTTTTGTACATCGTCTTCCTGGCGTTAGACTCATCATGCAGCAGTCTTCGATTCCTGCTCATTTTCGTGCTTTTCCCCTCAGTTGGGTTTTCAAGTGAAGCGGGTGCTCATTTGGATTGACGTGACAAGACTGACCTGACTGGTGTGTATGGCCAGGATCACTGTCCTAAAATCTAGAGATTATTTATAAAAGAGAAGATTAGGCCTACACTTTACTGTCAGATCACAGAACACAGTAAAACACCCTTAAAATTGAAGGTTGGCTTTTTAATGTGATAGTCAGTGCTCCGTTTCCTTCTCATTGTGCTGCAGTATGGAATAAAAGCCATTTTACTATCCCAAGACTCTGACTGTAGTGTGTGTGCCCACTCATTTTGGCTATTGTGGGAGATTTCACATACTAAGATGCAGAGTATGTCTTCCTAAAAAGATAATACTCTAATCTCTTGTTCTCTTTGTGGATGCACAGACTGTGTTTTCACTGTCTGGAAGTGTTTGGGAAATAAAAATAATTTCAGGATGATAGATAGCAAGCAGGCTGGTGGGGTAAGAGGCCAGTGAATGAGCCTAGCTAGCTAACAGGTGAGTGGTTTTCACTCTTTGCAATAGACTCCTTTTCCCCGGGCATGTGCAGTTCTTCAGGACGGTACAGTGTGGCAGGTCACGGTTAAGCTTGCTCATAAATCAGAAGGCTACATTTAACCACATTCTGTGAATTAACACGCTCACTACAATGTTCATTAGCTTACTCATTAACTAGTTAGCTTGCTAGTGAACTTGTGCACATGCTGCTATGCCACTGCTGCATTGACTCAAGTGTACAATGTGTACTGAGGTGTACTGCACTGTGGGATGAATCTGGGTAATTTTAGCTAATGCGATAATGTCAAAACGTCTTTATGAACCTCTTTTGTTGTGAATTTTGGCCATAAAATGCATGTTTATTTTATGTGTGTGTGTGTGTGTGTCAGGGAGAGGGCAGTGGGAGAGAGGCTGTGTCATCCAATTAGCCTGTGACGGTGTGTGTGTGTGTGTGTGTGTCTGTGTTTTACTTGGCCCTGGTTAGCATTGTGCCTCTGTCATCACATGTCTGTATGAGGCAGAGTCTCTGTAAGATGTCAGTGGTGCATTTGACTGAGGATGTCAGAAATGCAGCTGTTGAACCTTTTGTGTTGGAGGTGTGTGTGTGTGTGTGTGTGTGTGTGTGTGTGTGTGTGCACACGCATGTGTGTAAAAGTTGAAATTGTGCAAGCAGTTACGGTATGATGACTTGAAACAATGTGACTTGTTAGCATGCTCTG